GTGTGTGTGTGTGTGTGTGTGTGTGTGTGTGTGTGTGTGTGTGTGTGCATGCGTGCATGCTCGTGTACGTAGGAGTAGGAGTGGACACCGATGTTCGGACTGTGGACATCTCCAGGGTAAAGTCCTCTTGCTCACATGTATGTGGGTTAATATTCCCTGTAACTGGACTGCAGGTGCTCTGACTTTTGCCCCCTCCCCCTCTCAGGGTGTCAGCGACTCCCTCGGGGTGAGTATAGCGGGGGGGAAGGGCAGCCCTTTGGGCGACATCCCCATCTTCATCGCCATGATTCAGGCCAACGGAGTCGCCGCCAAGACCCACCAACTTAAGGTGACCGGTTCAGAACGGTTGCTGACCCGGATGGAAGAGGAACATCTTCCATCTGGAGAACTTTCTCTGATCAAACCTTGAGCTCTAAACTCAAAGTGCATGAGATGTGCAACATGGACTAACATGCAGATTAAATCCCTCCCTTCCCTCCTGAGGATCATTAGGCTCTTTGTCAGCCTAACTCACAGGAGAAAGTTCTGGTTCTGGTTCTGAAGGTGTAAACTAGACTCAAGTGACTTGATGCTGAACATTGCAAGTTTTTTTTTTTCATTCAACCTTTATTTCTACAGGTTAGTCTCAGTGAACCTCAAGGACTCATTTAAAGAGAGACCTGATCTAGACAAAGAATGATGACGACAATGGACGATCATAAAAAACATAAACTGAGAAATAAATGGGAGTTTTAGAACCAACACGACCATTTTGAAACCACAGTTTGTCTCTGGAACCATTTATTGTAATGAGTTGATCTGAGGGGGATTAAAGATTAACAACAAAGATCAAAGCAGCAGCCCTGGGGAGCCCAGTTCAGATTCAGGTTCTAGTAAAGTCTGTTTGTGGTTCTAGGTCGGGGACAGAATCGTCAGTATCAACAGTCAGTCTGTGGACGGTCTGTCCCACAGTGAAGTCGTCACCATGCTGAAGAACAGCTACGGGAACATCAGTCTGCAGGTACCCTCCCACATGTTCTAGAAAACTTCCATACACGTTCCATGCACGTTCATACAAACCGGATTCCAAAAAAGTTGGGACACTAAACAAATTGTGAATAAAAACTGAATGCAATGATGTGGAGATGGCAAATGTCAATATTTTATTCATAATATAACATAGATGACAGATCAAAAGTTTAATCTGAGTAAATGTAACATTTTAAAGGAAAAATATGTTGATTCAAAATTTCACAGTGTCAACAAATCCCAAAAAAGTTGGGACAAGTAGCAATAAGTGGCTGGAAAAAGGAAATTGAGCATATAACGAACAGCTGGAAGACCAATTAACACTAATTAGGTCAATTGACAACATGATTGTGTATAAAAAGAGCTTCTCAGAGTGTCAGTGTCTCTCAGAAGCCAAGATGGTAAGAGGATCACCAATTCCACCATTGTTGCACAGAAAGATAGTGCAGCAATACCAGAATGGTGTTACCCAGCGTAAAATAGCTAAGACTTTTAAGTTCTCATCATCAACCGTGCATAACATCATCAAAAGATTCAGAGAATCTGGAACAATCGCTGTGCGTAAGGGTCAAGGCCGTAAAACTCTACTGGATGCTCGTGATCTCTGGGCCCTTAAACGTCACTGCACCTCGAACAGGAATGCCACTGTCAAGGAAATAACAGAATGGGCTCAGGAATACTTCCAGAAAGCATTGTCAGTGAACACAATCCACCGTGCCATCCGCCGTTGCCAGCTGAAACTCTACAGTGCAAAGAGGAAGCCATTTCTAAGCAAGCTCAGACGTTTGCACTGGGCCAGGGGTCATTTAAAATGGAGTGTGGCAAAATGGAAGACTGTTCTGTGGTCAGATGAGTCACGATTTGAAGTTCTTTATGGAACACTGGGACGCCATGTCATCCGGACCAGAGAGGACAAGGACAGCCCAAGTTGTTATCAACGCTCCGTTCAGAAGCCAGCATCACTGATGGTATGGGGTTGCATGAGCGTTTGTGGCATGGGCAGCTTGCATGTCTGGAAAGGCACCATTAATGCAGAGAACTATGTTCAGGTTCTAGAACAACATGTGCTCCCATCTAGACGTCATCTCTTTCAGGGAAGACCCTGCATTTTTCAACACGATAATGCCAGACCACATTCTGCAGCAATCACAACATCATGGCTACGTAGGAGAAGGATCC